CCCCAAAACCCCAAAACCCCATGAGTCTGATTATTTATAAAGTTTACACTTAGAAATAGTATGATATATTAAAAAATAAATAAAGATCAGTTTATATTAATATCTCTACTGTAGAGAGTGGGAAGTTTGGGATTGGCAGGATTAACTGTTGTTTCCAGACTACTGTTGTTGTTTGTTTATGTATTAGCTTGATTATTTGAACCCTGGTTTACCTTTATTTGATTGATTTTATCATTCTATGGAAATTTGTTTATTTAATGATTAAGTTTACAATGTAAATTCTGACCCAAGGAGGTGCAAACATGTAGTAAATGTAGCTTCCTTCTTTATAGCCCCAGAAATGACTGATTTTCCTTAGACAAAATCTCATTATTTCCTCATTATTGTACAGTAATGTATTCATATAGGCATGCAGGCCTTGAAGAGTATCAATAGTGGTCAGATCAAATTTAATCTCAATGAAGTCATTCGGATTAGCTGAAATAAATTATAAAAAAGTATAAGCCTTACTTCCAATCACAAAATTAACATCATTCCAGTCAGATAAAAGCAATTTCTTTAAAGTTTCTACAATGTCTTGCATTCTACTCTTGCTGACATCAGTTAAAGGCTTTTATGGACCAGACGGTTTAAAGTCACCATAAAGCATTCTTGCCTCTTCCATCCACTTTGTTCTCAAAATTTCATCTTTAGTTGCATCATAAGGATCATCAATCAATAAAAAGCTGTAGGTGTAAGTTTCATCTTTTCCCAAAAAGGGATACTCATATTTGATGTTCTTTTTTACTTTAGCAGGGTTGAAAGCAAGCTTATGCAGCTTACCCATAGTTTCTCTACTATTCTCTAAATCCTTTAGCTTTTATTCATGGTCTAATATATTTAGTAAATCATAGCTAAAAACTTACAAGCTGAGAATTGATCAGGGATCCATTCGAACTTCTGAAACACCCCGTTACCTTTTCCAAGTGTGGAATATTTCTATCGATTATTTGCATTGATCTGAGATAAGGCATTAGCTTTCTCAAGTTTTTCCTTTAAAGCTTATAGGACACTGTTTGGTCCAATTAAATCAGGTAAATCTCTGAGATTCATATAGTTTCCAACTCTGAAGCAAGCTGCCACTAAGTCTTGCTCTTTGTTAGTGAATTCGTACAACACTAAATTAAAGATAAATTAATTTGAATCTTACTGGAAGCTAAGTTTGGTACTTCATAATGTGATGCTAATTAATGCTAACTAAAATTAAGTTTAGGTAAAGTACATTAGTTGAGCCAATTGTATCCATTGAACGATCTAAATCGATTCCTAACTTTGAGACTTAACTAGCCATTTAATTAAAATTTTGCTCTTTCATTCCATTATTACTGGTAGCAATTGATGACATTTTATTTAACTAATTAATTTAGTAGTTTTATTGAATTCTAGTTCTGATGGGGTTTTGGGGTTTTGGGGTTTTGGGG